CAACATAATAAGCAAATAGATAAATGTATGATATGTATCGTATAATAAGCTCATTTATACACCGTATTAATTAGACAATTGATGCATCAACAAACATACACAGACACAGACACACACACACACACACCCACACATACACACACACATATATGTATATAAATATTTCCAATTTAATCCGTTTCAAAATTATGAGAAATTGAAATTATTACAATTTATGATAACTTTTGTTGTTTATTTTAAATTAAATAAAACTTCAAAAGTTGAAAATATATTTAGCATATATACACATATGAAAAATAGCATCATTTATATTTCGTTTCAAAAAAAAATATGCAAAATTATTTGATGATAATAAATTATGAATTATTATCATTGATTAAAAATTATTCAAATTTCAATTGTGCATTGTAAATTTCAATTGTGCATTGTAAATTTTTTTTTTTTGTAAATTTCAATTACTTTCAAGTTTATTTATTTATTTATATGCACTCATATTTGCAAAAAATTTTGCTTCATTTATTTATAAAATCACGGATGCTATTCACTTTTCATACGTATACATCGTCATTTACATATCATTATACAGAAATTAAAATAATGTATTATGAATCATTACAATGAAATAAATATATATGTAGTGGCAGGGTTACCTAATATAAAATGTATTAATTCTTTCAAAATCTAACAAATTTTGAAACAAAAAAAAATGACTCAAAATTTTGAATTAGAAAAATTGTTATTAAACTTCAGAAAAATTCAAAATTTATCGTTTAATCATTAGTTTCAAAAAAAAAAGAAAAATGGAATAGCGTAAAGATCGTATAGTATGAAAATATATTACCTAAGCAAAGATCAAAAATATGTTTAAAAAAAAAAATAAAAATTATTCGAACAAAGTAAACTGAGCAAAAATTCGTCACAATTATCCATACAAGAAGAAAAATTTATGTATCATTTCAAGAAAACAAAAGAAAAAAAGAAATAAACGAAACAAACAAACATAGGAAATGGAATATTTTTTGAATGATTTAATTTTATTTGATTAAATTGAATCAATTTATTTTAGATTAATTCAATTCAATGTACTATACCATTTTTGTAAATTTGTTGATGCGAAATTTCATTTCAATCAACTTTTTGCTTACGATATCATTTATGCAAAATTTCAACTTGACACTTCAAAATTTGTCACACACATTTGAATAGCTGATAATAAATTTGAAGTATGACTTGAATTTCCAAAAAAAAAAAAGAAAGTTACAAAAATAATATATGTATACATGTATATATCAATTTTTGTTACATATCAATTTTTCTGGAAGTCATAATATGATGTGTACAAATAAATTGGAAATGAATTTAAAAACAAACAAATAAACAAACAAACAAACAAATAAATAAAGAAGTAAAGAAAAAAAAAAGAAAATAACACCGGTTTTAAGAGAATTGTAATAACAAACAAAGTAATCGATTTTTTTTTTGATTTCAAGTAAAAAAGTAATTTTTATAATTGCTTCTTGAAAAATTAATGAAATTAAAAGAAAAACAAAAAATCATTCCAAATAAATGAATGCTATCACGCAAGCATCATTTTGCTAAAAATAAATTAAAACTTAATCAACAAATTTTAGAAATGACGAACTTTGACCGACAAAAACAGGTTTAGGGAAGGAGGAAAAAAATGAAACTAAAGCAATTGTTAGGTTTTCATAAAAAAAATCATTCAATCATATTCTCAAGTTTAAATTAAAAAATTCACAAAAAAATGAAAGATTTTAGCTAATTTTTTCCTTAATTATGAGCTATAGTGAATGATTCGGTATAGTTTAATGTTAGTAAAATATTAAATCAAATAGCAAATTAATAGAAAATCAAATTTTTAGTACAAATTACATCATTAAAAAAAAATGAAGCATTAAAATACTAATTATTTCGAAGAAAAGGGAGGAGGAAATTTAACAAGTAATCAAGATGATATAATTTTAATAACGATTAAATCACCGAGGTTTTTGTTACAAAATCCATCTCACTGTTTCAAAAAGACGCAAAAATTAAAAGATAATCGAAATGATAATTTCGATTAAAAGATAACCGAAATCTTTGCTACTTTTTTTTTTGTTATAATATTATCACAAGCGTTTTTGGTCACAAAAAGCATGAAATTTTCAATGAAACACCATAAATGAAATGAAAAATCAATAAAATTAATTATTTGTTGTCGTATGATCGATCAAATTTTTAGCAAAATTGGTTAAATTTTATAAACAACTATATGGTGAAAGAGAGGGAGAGAAAGAGAGAGAAAGAGAGAGAGAGAGAGAGAGAGAGGAAGGAAGA